CCCCAGAATTCCTCAGCCAGCCATGAATGATAGAGTTGGAAGAGACCGGAAGGGTCACCTAAGTCAGGGGTCTCCAACCTGGGCTGCTTTAAGACTTGTGGACTTCAACTCCCAGAATTCCCCAGCCAGCCGTGTCTGTTTCCTTTTTTTCTCTCAACCTCCTAAAGTGGAGAGAGATTGCAGAGGAAGGGATTACAAGAGAGCAAGCGATGCTGGCTGGGGAGAATTCTGGGAGTTGAATGTCCACAAGTCTTAAAGCGGCCCAGGTTGGGGACCCCTGATCTAGAATGACACATCTAGGGGTGACTTGACAGCAGTCTTCTAATACTTGAGGGGTGTCACAGAGAGGAAAGGATTGACTTATTCCCCAAAGCACTTGAAGGCTAAACAAGAAACAATGGATGGACACTAAATCAAGGAGAGACGCAACCTATAACTAAGGAGGAATTTCCTGAAAGTGAAAACAATTAATCAGTGGAACAGCTTGGGTGCTCCAAGTTTTCAAGAAGAGCTTTGACAGCTATTTGTCTAAAATGGTTTAGGGTCTTCTGAACCGTCCTTGAAGTCTTCTAATCAATCACCCTGCTTAATCAGGAGAATCTTCTCCCTTCCGGACAAATGGTTGTCCAATCTCCTCTTGAAAACCTCCACTGTTGGAGCATCCACAACTTCTGGTGGCAAGTCGTTCCACTGGTTAATGGTTCTCCCTGTCAGGGAATTCCTCCTTAGTTCCAGATTGCTTCTCTCCTTGATGAGTTTGCATCCGTTGCTTCTTGTCCTTCAGGTGCTTTGGAGGATAGCTGGACACCCCCTTATTCGGGGCAGCCCCTCAAATATTGGAAGGCTGCTATCATGTCACCCCTGGTCCTTCTTTTCATTAGACTAGACACAAACCCAGTCCCTGCAACCGTTCGTGGTATGTTTTAGTTTTAGTGCATTTTAGATGAGTTGTGCTTTTAAAATAAATCCAACTGGAGTATAGAATAGAATCAGCATAGAATAACAGAATAGAATAATAGAATAAGAATAGAATAGAATAAGAATAGCATAGAATAGAATAATAGAATAAGAATAGAATCAGAATTGAATCAGAATCAGAATAGAATAACAGAATAGTATAAGAATAGAATAAGAATAGAACAAGAATAGCATAGAATAGAATAAGAATAGAATAAGATTAGCATAGAATAGAATAATAGAATAGAATAAGAATAGAATAGAATCAGAATAGAATCAGAATCAGAATAGAATTACAGAATAGTATAAGAATAGAATAAGAATAGCATAGAATAGAATAGAATAAGAATAGAATAAGAATAGCATAGAATAGAATAATAGAATAGAATAGAATCAGAATAGAATCAGAATCAGAATAGAATAACAGAATAGTATAAGAATTGAATAGAATAAGAATAGAATCAGAATAGCATAGAATAGAATAATAGAATAGAATAAGAATAAAATAAGAATAGAATAGAATAAGAATAGAATAAGAATAAAATAGAATAAGAGTAGAATATGAATAGAATAAGAATAGCATAGAATAGAATAATAGAATAGAATAAGAATAGAATAGAATCAGAATAGAAATAGAATAGAATTCTTTATTGGCCAAGTGGTTGGACACACAAGGAATTTGTCTCGGTGCAAATGCTCTCAGTGTACATAAAAGGAAAGAGACTTTCATCAAGAGTCAAGAATCATAAGATACAACATTTAATAATAGTCATAGGGTACAATAAGCAATTAAATCTTACTAGGAAACAGTCAATAAAAACCATATTTCTTAGAGGAAGCACAGGAAAGATGTGTGTTTTCCTTCTAGCCCCACTGAAGAAAACAATTGCAAGCTTTTGAATAGAGAATCTCCCCTTTGCGTAGCCAAAGGAAGACGACCAATTAAAGGTGAGACATTCCAGAACTGAATGTCCGGTTCTCCTTTTCCTAGGATGGCCTTTGATGACTTCTGTACCTACTTCACTGACATCATCAAATGCCGCCTGATCAACACGTCCTACCTGAGCATCCATAAGACGTGGGAAGAAGCCGTCTTGAAGGGTGCCTGGACGCGGCATGAAGACCCCTTGAAGAACCGCTGCGGAGGCTGTGTCAACAACCGAGAAACTTTCCTGCAAAACCCCCAGGTAGGAAGGTCAAGAGGGAGATCGAGAAAGGCATTAGAGCAATGTTTTCCAACCTTGGCAACTTTTAAGATACGTGGACTTCAACTCCCAGAATTCCCCAGCCGTATTGTTATACCTTCTAGCATTAGTTTTTCTCGCCTTGTGTCAGGGTTCCGATGGATGCCCTAATTGAAATTCACGAGCCTCGAGCCAAGTTTCAAAAAAAATCCAATTATTTATTAGGAGCGACATGTCGGCACTTTTTCCCAAGTGCGGTCGGCTTTGCCCCATGTAATTTACTGCCCACCTGTGACCCTGTTTCCCCCCCCTCCTCCCAAGGTGTGTTATAAATCACATTCTCCAACGGAGCACTTTGGGGGCTGTAGAAAACACGCCTCTCCGGCTTGCTCTAGTAACCTGGGATACAACCTGGAGAAAGGTACGCACAGAAGGTGCTTCTGGTCATAGCAACCAAGCTTCGCCATCAGTTCTCCCCTACCCTCCTGCCTATGGCAACTCAAGAGCAGGTCAGGAATGCTTTACGAGTTGACACCTTGTTTTGTTGACTTGACTGACTTTAAAGATCTGATCGTAGTGTGCCTCTCTTTTTCACCCAGTACGTTTTTGATGTGAAGAAAGCAGAAGACGAAGTCTTGGTTTGCATCCAGCAAAAGCCCAAACGGACCAGCCAGAAGGAAGGAAAGGGAGAAAACCTGGCCATAGGATTTGACATCTTCAAGGTAAGCTTTGATGACCAACTTCTTATTAGATGTTTGGAGGTGGCCAGAATGGACCGTTCTGGTTCTAACTGGGGAGTAGTGTTTCTCAACCATGACCACTTGAAGATGCATGGACTTCAATTCCCAGAATTGAGAAAGTTTGAGAATTCTGGGAGTTGAAGTCCTCCCATTTTCAAGTCACCAAGATTGAGAAGGTTGAGAAAAGTTGAGAATTTTGGGAGTTGAAGTCCTCCCATCTTCAAGTCATCAAGGTTGAGAAAGG